AGTTACCAAGTTCCCTTGCCAGCTCAAACAGTGTGACTTTGGTCAAAAGCAAAGACATGCATACGTGGATGCATGTTGGAAGCAAGGAGACAAAGTGCAGCAGCCAATAAGAAACTTAGACATGCCAATATCACTCTCTCATTATGCTTTTCCTTCAGATTGAATATCTACCGTAGGATCTTGTGTTAATGTGATATATATATTTAGCAACATGCAGTATTCTAGGGTTACGCAATGAACACATACTGCTATCTATTTCTGTGAAAGTTAATTATGATGGAATGGTTTTGTGTCATATGTTTACAGATCTACTTTGTTTGTGAAAATCAATGAGCTTTCTTTTCAAATTGTGATACAAGTGCCGACCTCTACGAGAGTGTCGGCCTCGCAACTACGTAATAAAACAAAATTAACTCGTATTTTCTCCTTATTTTCGGTCATTTATCTTCACTAAACTTTGTTTTAACCGTTGATAGGATCCGTCCATCAACACTTTTATCTCATTTTCTTTCTTATATTGTATGTATTTTTTTTATTTTTTTTTTTTTGTAAAATATATTATTTTTTATATGTAGTAATAGTAATAATATCAATATTTAATATTTTTTAGAAGGCTTTTTGGGCTAATTAAATTGCAAATTTATTTGTTTGGTCAAATGGTGAAGTCACGTTGTGTCCGATATTCATGCAAGAGATGGAAAATTTCCGTCAAATTATACTTTATCTTCTAATAATGCCAATCTTCATCATCCACAGATTTGAGATTTTTGGAAAATAAATCTATGAAATTTTAGGAAATTATAGCTATAATTATTAGTAATTGTTATTATATTTGTCAATTACTAATTATTTTAACTCAAAATATAGTTTTGTATGTGCTCTTCCTACACTCTTGTGCAATATTTTTTCTGGTTTATATTATACAAAAAATTAAAATTACTTGTAAATCTTGAAATAAAAGAGCGTATAAGATATGCTTAGTTGAAGGGAACATAATTGTAAGAACTATTAGTATCGATCGTTAACATAATTTTGTAAGTTAAAAAGTATACATAGAAGTTTGTTACTACCAAAGTTTGAAGGTTATGTATTTTATTCTCTAGTATTATTTTTATTTTCACTAATTTATTTATCATACGTATACGTTAAATTCAATGTGTGGTTATTGAAAATTATATAATATAGGCCACGTCAAAAGTTTTGTCCTAATTCCACCCCTAAGAAAATAAATCATATACAAACAAAAATAACATAATATGCGTATATCGACATAGAATTTCGCGTTGAAATATAACAATTTTTTCGTTGTATACATTCTTACACAAAAACTAAAACTTAATTTTATTTGAATCCGACCTATAAAAATATCTTGTGTACAAACAAGAGATCATAAAAAATAGAGTTACCATATCATCATTTTCATATGTATGATTAGAGTTATGCTTGGTAGACCAATAAGTCGGATTTTAACTTATGCGGTTAGCTTATAAACTTCGTGTATTTAAATAAACTTCGTTTTGTACGACAAACTTTTTCAAAAAGCTCCAGTTTATTTTATAAGTTGTTTTGGGTAGTTTTTCAAATAAGTCCGTTAAAATTTTTATTTCAAATAGTTTATCAGCAAATTTTACCAAACACTTTTATCATATAAGCTAGTTTTTTAGCAATAAGTCATAAGCTATAAGCTCGAAAATTACTGATAAGCTATAAACTAGCTCATCAGCTATCAACTAATGTTATGTTTCGTAAAACTAGCTAATAAGCAAACTTATAAATTATATATAATTTTTGAGCTTATGACTTATAACTGAAAAACTAGCGTATATGATACGTGTTTTGTAAAATTAGCTGATAAGCTAGCTGAAATAAAAAATTCAACTTATTTATTTAAAAAAAAAACTACCTAAAGTAGCTTATGAGATAAGCTCGAACTTTTAAAAACAAAAAAAGTTCATCCTATCAAACGAGGCTTATTTGAATACAAGAAACTTATAAACTAACAAAATAAGCTAAAAGTTAGCTTATTTTACTTACCAAATATAACCTAACTTATCAGCGAGTTTTCCCGAGCACACACGAGATGTATAGGCTAGACATAAAAAATAAAATTAATATTGGAAAGTTCAACACCTTTTATCATCTCGGTCGAAAGTAAAGGGATAGATAAATGAAATTTTAATGAAACCTGTAAACTTTTTTATTTTTTCAATTTTAGTCCAAGACCGACCGGTTAGTCCAAAAAAATGTATGACAAAATTTATATTTGTGTCATAGAATAGGCTAAAATCATATTAAAAAAAATAATCAATGTTGGACCTGCTTGAAAACCAAACGGACTAGAAATACCTAAACCTGAAGAGTTAATAAGTTGTTAAAAGAAATGAGTTGTTTGTGAAAACTCGATTAGACTCGTTTAATAAAAGAGCCGAGCTCGAGGTTTAGGCTTGAAATAGGGGTTCTTATATAATTATTTAAGCTTTTAACATAATTAAGGCTCAAACTCATCAATATCTATTATCAAGACTAAAAGTAGACCGTCGCGACTCATCGACGTTGTTTTGAAACCAGAAAATCGCTTAATCTGTTGTAAAAATTGATCCAACTCGAATGGTTAATTTCTTCTCACGCTATCCAACTAGGATTTAATATTGGTGGATTAACAACCTACTTAGATATGCGTAAGTACGTGTGATCCAACAATGATAAATCTCAATTGATCAAATTAGATTGTTTGCATTTACTTAAAATTAGAATAATATTTTATGCATCACTTTTCACTTCAATCAAATCAAAAATAATGGATCCATAATGGATCAGTAGTACATAGGGCTTATAATTTTTATTCACCCATTAAAATGTATGGGCCTAAACTAATATCTTCTAACGACTGGCCTACCAAGTGGCCCAACCCAAAGCCCTATCTCCACCGGAACCGACTATATATGCATTTCTTTTTTTATTTTTTTCTCTTTTTATGTGCAAATTGGTTCCGGTTCTTGGTATTTATAATTCGCTCTTCATTTTTTTATTTCGGTTCTTGATTTTTTTTATAATTTTTGTAGTACACGAGTTACAACTTTCGATTGATTTTTAACTCAAAACCGATTACTACCGGTTATTTTTTGTAATTGTGTAACCCAAATAACCGTATTAATCGGACCATTATAACATGCGGTTCGGTTCACTTAAACTACTGAACGGGTTATACTGTTTCGGTTCCGGTGTTGATTTTTTGAAAAATATGTTAGGAACTGAATCTGTCCTAGGCTGACCCAATGATGCTTTCACGAGTACTTTTGAATAGTTACGTCTTTCAATGAAGCACGATTATTCTAGTTTTACTAAGTGCTGTTAAAATAAACGAGTTTGGCTCGGTTCGACTCGTTTATCAAATGAGTCGAGCTAGAGTTCATTTAAAGTTTATTTGGTTAACGACCCGAGCTCGGCTCGTTAAAGCTCAAAAAAAAGAATTTTTATATAATTTTTTGTAGTTCAACTCGTTAAAACTTGAGATTAGCTCGTTAAAGCTCGAACTCGACTTGTTATTAGCGATAAACAAGGCGAGCTCGAGCTCGATTTCAGACTCGTTTATAGGACCAGATTCACCAAAAGAGAAAATGCGACTTTTACATCAAGCATGCTAATCATCTTTTACCTTTTCTTTTCTTACACACATAAAGTATATACTAACATATCTTCAAACTTCTGCAATTTACCATCCATTCCTTCTTGTATATGGGAGAAATGCAACAGTATCAACCAATAAACATTACAAACCGATCGATACACACGAAAGAATAGATAAAACCGGCACACTCTCGACAAGTCGACACAACGAAAAAATGTCACGAAAAAGGCAAGCTTTTTGTACGACCACTCCTCAATCCTCGTTCTTTTCCACAGGCAATCGGAAACGCTCAAACATATCCTTTAAAGCCAAAACCT